ATGTTTAAGCGTAAAAGCTAATTTGTAAAAGTATATTTTTCACGTACATTTTTCTGAGCTGGAAGTACAAATATAAGCAAGCAATCGCGTGCTCGTTTATCGTAAACAAACTCCGTGCGACTGATTAGACTATTTCCCCTGTAGAATAAAGCATACAGTATTTACATAATTTGCCGTTCCTTGGTTCAGGCTCACTCTTTTGAATCGTGCCTTCAGAGACTTCAGAGTACTTTTCCGCCAATTCCAAACATTATTCGACCGGATGAGCTATCTGTCGCGACCGGACCTAATCAAGAAATGCAATCACAATAAATCTGTTGCCACGCTTATCATCCTAAAGCCAAGGCGATTCAAAGTCGTGTTCGTTAACATATAAAATAACAAGGACAATTTCCTCAGATTTCGATAAATGCTACCGCCGAAGTGTTTAAATTCACCAAAATCCAACGCTGAAAGCACAAAATAGCGAAGTCTACGGCGACTGAATGGAAAGAAGTCAATGAAAGATCCAGCGCAAAGACGAACTCACATGGCCTGCTCACATGTTCGCCACATGTCTTATCACATGTCTTAGGGTGCGTTTCCTTAAGAAAATCCAAGATTGGATTCTTAAATCCGAAAACGGATTTTGCGTTTCTTTTCTTAGCAGATTAATCTAAGATCTCTCGTATCATGGTGCGTCAAAGGAACCGGTTCCATTAATGTACCATGATCCGAGAGATCTTGGATTGATCTGTTTAGAAAAGAAACGCAAAATCCGTTTTCGGATTTAAGAATCCAATCTTGGATTTTCTTTCTAAATGCGCCCTTAATAAAGGTACCAGTTTACTGGCCTTGACATGCCCCTGCCAAAATCAAGCGGGGTGGTTATTTTGGTGTCTTCACAGGAATGTGTATTTTTCTGTATATAACCGTGCACAGGATAACCAAATCTAGAAAGCCACAGGCGAAAGTAAGGTTTGCGTTCTCCGAACGCAAAAATATATAGATTTAGCCAAGCCTAAAAGCGGAGCACCTGATTGGAATAACTTAACCATAAAGGATTATGAGCACGTAATTACGGCGTGTGGTTTCAGTACTTTTTTACAGCTAAAATCTTAATAAAAATGAGACTTTCGAATAAAGCGTATCCTTTTCTCCAAGATTACTTCTTACTACTTATCCTCATCGGGC